TCTTCATGCACTTTCATGCGAAATCAACGTGCCCCCAACAATGTTATCTCAGGAGATTCATCGAAACCCATCTACTTTCGTATCGTTAGTTTTGAATTTGATTGTAGAACGAACGCTTAGCATGTTTTCACTGGATTCGAAGTAGATTGTCTCGGAAACAGTCAACAAAAATGTTCCACTGAAGCCAATCGACAGCTGATCAAGAGGAATCCGCTGTCGTCTTCTGGTAGAACCTAACTTCGACTCCCTTCACCGCACACTTTCACTCATCATTTATGCAACAAGATACTGCTCGAAAGCACATTTTAATTCTCATCAAATCAAAAATATCAGAATGGTTTAAGAAACCAGCTTACCCTCCCGAAGGGAACAGATCGCATTCAACAGGCGAGCCACGAACTCGGCCACTCGAGGTTCCGTGGAGTCAAGGTTTGCCAGCAGAGGGCACTGATTCTTGCCGAGCGGCGGCTCTTGTGGCGTGATCTCGCAGAGAACCGCATGCCGATCCGATTTGCTGCCGGTTCTTTGACGCACCCGAATCGCCCGTTTTCCAGTCTCTTCATTCGCTTTTCCTTCCATTTTCTTCATCTTCCTCTTCTTCTTCTCCTTCTCCTTCTCCTCCTTTTCCTCCTCTTCCCTATTTGACTTTCTATCTTCCTTCCTCTCACTTGCCTCCGCCGGAAGCTGTTCGAGCCCCAGTTGCCCTCGAGCAGAGCCGCAGTTGGACTTTCCTTGTCGGACGACTTCAGGCTCGGACTCGTCAAGGACTGCGGCTGCAGACCGGGGCGCTGTTCGCGGACGGACAGCCGCCAAGTCGGCGATATCAGCAGCGATGAAGGCGGCAAGACATGCGCTACGTTGAACCACCGTCGTTTTGGTCAGTCGCTAGGGGCGCACAGCGTCCAGTGAAGAGCGGCAGGAGGAGACGTGAAGAAAGCAGAGGGTGAAGGGAAAAATGAAGCAAACAGCTGGACCGCAATTTCCAGTCTCGACTAATTCAAAGACAATGCTTGAGGCTAGTGGAAGTGTTTTTCGTTGCAAGCCGGCACCACTTTTATGACTGAACTGCGACCACAAGGA